AATGGTTGGATCACCAGCCGCCGCTTTCAAGGTAGGTGGCGCTGTTGCTTGGACTGCCGCGGTGAGGACAGTATTCAGCACTTTTCGCGATGCCGTGTTTCCATCGCCTCTCCTGGCGTCGCTTCGATCTATGCCAACCGGCGTCAGAGAACGCCTCGGCGGAGTTCGTCGGGCTCCTCCATGCCGAGTCCGTGAGACGCCGCATGGCGCCGGGCGAACGAGCCGCTCTGAGGGCCTGCGCAGTTCACACGCCCATGCGCACGCACGGCGCCATTTGCGCAGGCCTCGCGCGCTCCGCGGGGCCCAAGGCTGTTCGTGTGGCTTTGCTGCTGAAGTGGTGCGTGGAAGCCCGCGCACCGCTGGCATCTTGCAGCGTGCGCTGAAGCGTCCGTTCCAAAGCTAGCTTCCCTCCGCTCCTCCCCTCTTTCTCTCATGATATCGCTCGGCGCGGATTCGCGCACTTTGCGCCTTTTTTTGTTGGCGTTGCTGGAAGTTTCACTCGCTGGTTATTTCGCCCCACGTTGTCCAGGGGATACCAACCATCCGCGGATTGGCATCTCGTCGCCGCCGTTATCCACACCCTCCTTCCTCTCTCTCCTCCTCCTCCTCCTCCTCCTCCTCCTCCTCCTCCTCCTCCTCCTCCTCTTCCTCCTCCTCCTCCTGCGGCCGGTGTTTTTTTGACTTTGACATGAGCCAGGGTTCAAGTTGCTGGCGTGCGTCTCGGCCGTTTCTAGCTACCACGCTGCCACCCTCTCACCTCGTCCTCTCCGTCCTCCTCCTCTTCCGCCCCTCTCTTATCTCATGCTGTGTTGGATTAATTTGCGTGGTTGCGTAGGTGTTCAACGTGACCTCGCACTACAAATCGTGTTTTCACGCGCTTGGACAAGAATTTGGCAACCTCACTATATATTCCAGTGCGAATTATACACTTGTACGCGGGTCGCATCATTTTAGGTTTCCTCTGGCCTGCGGCCCGCGCAACGGGGGTGCAATTCGCTACCCTTCGCGCGTTCGCTGTCAACCTCAGGCCACGGTGCACTTCGTGAGTTTGCTTATTGGTCGGCTCGTGAATTGCACCCGGTTTGCCTGGCAGCTCTTTGAATCGCATGCTTGTTGCGAGCGTCTAGCGCGAAACTCTTTCGCCGTGTGCTTGCTTTGAAAAATAACAAACGTAAGAAAAAATCAAATTGTCAGGAAGGGCGGCGACATGTCGGTGATGATGAGAATGACGGCGGTTATTGGGCAGGACAGTCGCCTTTGCACGGCGTGAAGTGCGCGGGGACTCGCGGAAACCGATAAGGATCCGGCGGGAATTCCAGCTGATACCTATCAGATTGATTGGAAGCCTTTGAGTGGAATCACGATTATGATGTTGGTTTGGGGCGAAACGCAGAGGGAAAACAGCGGAAATCGCTGGGCAACTCAAGGTTCCTTTAGAAACCGCGTCGGGAGCCGCCGTTTCTAAGTGTGTCCCAAGTTGACTACATATTTGGCCATACCCCAGGGTCAGCTTACATGTAAGTCGGACCTGTCCCTCTACAGGAGGGGTAGCAACAACAAAAAAAATAAAAATACTCGGGGGACGATTTTTGAACTATTCTGGAGCATTATATTCATATGTTATGATTTCTTCCTTCCGTCCAAGATCCGCCTGTAGGGTGACACTCCGGACCTAAGCTTTGCGTTGTCCTGCCCTCCCTTCCGTTCCAACTCGGAGCTGTCACCGCGCGCGAAGAGCGCAACCCAAAGGGCGTTGCTGTAATTCCTTTGTGTGCCACGAAGTCTCGTGTAATTCCTTTGTGTGCAGTCTGATTACATTGCCAACGCGGGGGGCACACAAATGAATTTCTTTTGTGTACGATCGTTTTCGCCGCCCCCACAAGAGCACGCGCGATTCCTTTGAGTAGAGTTTGCTTCCCCGCCTCGAGAGCCTGGCGCTACAATCGCAAGGCCGCGGCGCCTGGCAGTGCGATGCAGTTGCGCCGGATACCACGCCCAAGACGATCTTGCGTGGTTTCCGGCTCTTCTGCCGAAGTCGCGCTGGCAGCTGGCCGGCCACATCGCGGGCCTTGCATGCCCACGCGCGTTACTGCGTTTTGCTGCCGCGACGCGTGCTGCTGTCAACGGATGAACAAACTGACGTTGCACGGTGGTTTGGCTGTGCCAAACCTCCATGGAATGTTTGTTGGTAGCGGATCTTGGGATCTTGTCGCCGCCGACAGCCTTGCCACACCATACGTGTCAACTGCATCTTAGAGAGCGGCCGTGCATTCACCCTGGTTCGGATCGCTGGGGATCCAGTCGCATGTGCGCACATGCGTTGCACCCTTGGTGGTGCCAGAACCCTTTGTGTGAAATTCCTTTTGTGTTTTTTTTTCTGGCTCCTAGCTGTATTAGATTAGAGACGGGGGTCACCGCCCCCCTGGCCAAGAGCCTGCGGCCCAGGAGCCGGCGGCCCCGCCCGCCGCGCTCGCTTAGCCCTTCCGAATCAGGAGGGAAAAAGCACAGACACAATTAATCGTCGATCCCCCAGGAAATATGGAAAAATACAGGAAGTGGGGGGATGACAACACAAAAAAAACATGGAAATATGGGGACTCTTTTTATTTGTGTGTATGTAATTGCGTGTCCCAGTTCCGTTTCAATCATCGGTGCGGCACCCCCGCGCCATCCTGCTATCGCCATCGTCGTCGACCGCCGTCTATCGTTACGTCGGGCGTGTCCTACTGGAAGAAAATCCAATAATTGCCCAAAAACAGTCTGGGGACGATTTCTCGATCATGCTTTGACTATGTATTGATATGTTTGGGTATGTTTGATTTTCGTCCAAAATCTGCCTGTAGGGGACATGCCCTACCTAAGGCGCCCGCTGGCTGCCGACATCCGCCGTCTCCCCCGCCCTCCTCGCCACCGCCAGCGGCGTCGTCACTCATCGTCGCCAGTGTCGTCGGCGCCTCATGTGTTGTCTTCGCCGCCGCCGCCATCGCCATCGCCGCGGTTTTCGTCGTCTTCGGCAAGCAGGTTCAAACCACAAAATTGCGCACTGCAGCCAAACCAACAATAGCCGCGTACCCTCCCATGCGCTTGCGCCTTTTAGCGGAAAGCCAAGCGGAAATTGTCAACAGAAAGTATTCCATGCTTGTTGGCTGTGGCGTGGTCTGTCGGTGCGGTCCTTTGGTGCGCGCTGTATGTTTATCAGCCAGTCACGGCAATGGCTGGCCAAAAAAACCCAGCGAACGCGGGAAAAGGAAGAGAGCGGAGGTAGGGGAAGGAAGAATGATGAGGGGCGAGGGAGGACACGGAGGCGAGAGCGCAGCGGGCACTCGAAATTTGCAAAGGTCGAGTGGCACAGGGCTCAGCTCAGCAAGTTTGCATGTAAAGGACGGGCAGGAGCAGGATTTGGAGAAGTGGAAAAGGAATAAGAGGGCACCAGCAATGCAGGAAGGGCCTGAATTTCGACCTTCAACTTCCAGGTTTAATGCGGTCAGCTCGCGGCGAGACGATTCTCGAATTGCGCAACATGGTCGCGCAAACCGGAGTAGGTTGTGGGTTTGGTTGCGTTGGCCCGTTGACCGCCGCGTACTTATCCGTAGCGTCTCATGTGTATATATGATACCGGAGAAAAATCCCAATCAGCGCTGTAGGGCTAGGGGCTATAGGGCTGTAGGGCTATCGAGCTACAGGGCTATAGAGCTATAGGGCTACAGAGTTGTAGGGCTATAGGGCTATAGGGCACGCCCAGGCACGCCCGGGCACCCAGGCACCCGGGCACCCCCGGGTACCCCAGGGCACCCCCCAGGCACCCAGGCGTGCAGCGAAAATCGGCGGCCAACCTCACCCCCGGGCACCCCTGGGCACCCAGGCACCTGGGCGTGCGGCGAAAGTCGGCTGCAAACCTAACCTAACCATATGAACCCGCTAGGACCCCTACAGAGGCAAGCTCTGATTGGGGAACATACATGCGTACATGCACATGTACATTTATACATACATAAACATATACGTATACAAATACGTGTGTGTATATATACATGTTGCAGCGATGGTGATGGCGTGGCATTTCCAGATTCAGGCTGGCTTGAGACCGTGACCTCTTCGCTGCCTTGGGTCCATGTTCCAGATGCAGGCGTGCCTGAACTTCTTCGCTGAACCATGACCGTAACGTCGTCGTTGTGAGATCACACGTGCGTTTGAATCCCGCCAGCTGTCTGGGCGGAGGTGATGTAGGGCGTTTCCTATTCCAACCACCTTTTTCCTTTTCGGGGAGTGTCACCACTGTCCTTCTCAGAGATCACACCTCTATCGCTGGGGCCTCTAAACGTGAGAGGGGTGCGACGACATGTGACTAGTGATTGTGGTGTTGCTGATGCTGATGGTGTTGATGATGTTGATGATGATGATGATGATGATGCTGATGCTGATGCTGATGATGATGATGATGATGATGATGAGGACGTCCATGATGGTGATGACGGTGATGGTGATGGTGATGGTGGGGATGATGATGGTGATGACGGTGACGATGCCGATGACGATGACGATGACGATGGTTGTGTTTGATGGTGATGGTGTCGCGAATGATGAAGAGGAGGAGGATGTTGCCGAGGATGATGTTGATGGCATGGTGATGATGATGACGATGATGATGATGATGATGATGATGATGATGATGATGATGATGATGATGATGATGATGATCGTGTTGATGATGATGGTAATGACGATGACGATGACGATGACGATGACGACGAGGAGAGAGAGAGAGGAGGGGGAGGAGGTGAAGAGGAGGAAGAAGTAACGCGGGGCGCTGCTGATTCAAAACGATGACCCCCACACACACACACACACACACACACACACACACACACACACACACACACACACACAACAAGACTGTTTGGAACAAGCAGCACCACTGAAGAGCAAATGTTGAATGCTGCCCGAGCTCCCTTCCCCACTCCCCCCTCTGCCCCCCCCACCCCCGGCGCTCTGCATGGCAGGCCGAGGCACTTCTGCGCGGCGCAGGCGGAGGCACGCTGGGAGCCGAAATCGGCGCGAGGGGGGGGGGGAGCAGGCGAGGGGACAGAGAGATGACGGAGACAGGAAGAAGGCCCAGGTCGTTTTCTCATTCCTTGTTTTGCCGATCGGCGCGGGCCCTCGCACCCCCCCTCCCCGCCCGGAGCAGATCTTGGCTGTTTTTGTTGGCGCCTGTTTCGAGCAGGTGGCGCCGGGTCTCCCCCACAGGTCGCACTGATGCAGACAGAGGTCCTACTCCTCCTCCTCCTCCTCCTCCTCCTCCTCCTCCTCGACCCTCGACCCTCGACCCTCGACCCTCCTCCTCGACCCTCGACCCTCCTCTTCGACCCTCGACCCTCGACACAATGCCGAAGAAACGCCGAAAAAGAAAACGCTCACCAGGGAAGGGTGGAAGGGAGGGGGGGCGAGCGAGGAGGGGGGAGGGAGGGGGAAGAGCAGTAGGAGGACGAGGAGAAGGAGGTGGAGGAGGAGGAGGAGGAGGAGGAGGAGGAGGAGCGGAGCCTCTGGCGGGAACCAGGGGCCCGCTCGAAGCTCGTGGGAGGACTGGGGGAGCCTCTCCACTGTACAGACAAGATGCTGCGGGCCCTGCAGGGCGAGGAGACCGGGAGCAGCAGCAGCCGTGCCGTCGGAAGCCGCTGGGAACCGCGAACACGGGAGGCGCCTCTCGGACGAGAGGCGGCGCGGGCTTCCTCCCCCCCTTTCCTCTCCCGGCATCGCTCGGGCGTGTGCACTTTTGCTCTCGGCGAGAACACCTCGAGGAGCACGCGAGAGGTCACCTCCTGCGGAACAAAGCAGTGCGCGCACGAGCCCGAACAAAAAGGCACGGCGGACGGACGGCCGAGCCATGGCGAGTCCTACGGGCGGCCGCACGGCACGCTCCAGCCCGCTCCCGGTCGGCGAGGGGGTCGGACGGCCGAGCCATAGCGAGTCCTCCTGGCGGCCGCCCGGCACGCTCCGCTCCCGCTCCGGTTGGGGCGCCGGGTGCCCGGCGTGGCCCGCCGGCTCTGCCTGTCGCGCGCGCGTCCGCCGCCGGCGCCGCGAGCAGAGAGGTTTGGACAAGCTCGGGAGGGGGAAAAACAAAAAAACAAAAAAAGGCACAATGCATCGTCGATTCCCCAGGAAGTCTGGGAGAGTCTGGGAAGTGTGGGGGGGGGGATGGCAAAATCCAGGAAATATGGGGAGATATAAAAAACACAGGCACAACGCATCGTCGATTCCCCAGGAGAGCTGGGAAAATATGGGAAGTGTGGGGGGATGACAAAAACCCAGAAAAGATAGGAAAAATATGGGAATCCCGTTATTAGTGTATATTTATTTGTGTGTCCCAGGGCCCCTTCAAGAAGTCTGGACAAGCTCAGGAGGGGAGAGAAAAAAAAACACAGGCACGATGCATTGTCGATTCCCCAGGAGAGCTGGGAGAGTCTGGGAAGTGTGGGGGTGGGATGACAAAAACCCAGAAAATATTAGAAAATTGAGGGAATTCCGTTATTTGTGTGAATTTATTTGTGTGTCCCAGGGCCCCTAGAGAAGTCTGGACAAGCTCAGGAGGGGGAGGAAAAAAAACGCAGGCACAATGCATCGTCGATTCCCCAGGAAGTCTGGGAAGTGTGGGGGGGGGGGGGATGGCAAAATCCAGGAAATATGGGGAGACATAAAAAAACACAGGCACAATGCATCGTCGATTCCCCGGGAGATCTGGGAAAGTATGGGAAGTGTGGGGGGAGGATGAGAAAACCCAGAAAAAAACCTGGGGAGGTGTGGGGGGAAGCCTGTTTCTGTGGGCGTGTATATATATATATATATATATATCTACTTCTGTGTGTCCCGGGACCCCGTTCACGAGCGGGCGCGCCGAGAGCGGCAGGCCGCAGAGGCCGCAGAGGGAGGCAGGTCAATTGACGCTGGCGCGTGCCCTCGACCGGCCCATCCGGGAAGGGCTCCGGTTGGCGACCTGGCCCTGGCCTTCTGTCGGGCCTGTCCCCCATACAGTGGGGATGTTCGACGAACAATGAAACATGCCCCAAAGATAGCAAAAAAAATACCCCCAAAATGGTCTGGGGATCATTTTTTTAAATATTTGTTACCTTTTGGGGGTATTTTGGGGGTATTTTTATTTGTTCGTCGAGAATTCCCCTGTAGGGGGACACGCCCGACATAACCCTTGCAAGGGATCGGCGGCGAGCCCCAGGGGGGAGGGAGGAGGTCGACCAGACGTGAGATTAAGTCGGGCGTGTCCCCCTACAGGGGGATGTTCGACGACAGAAAGAAAGATATGCAAAAAAGATTCCAAAACGGTCCAAAAAAATATTCAAAAAATAGTCCCCAGACTATTTTTGAATATTCCCCCTGTGGAGGGACAGGCCCGACTTAAACGTAAGAGTGACCTTTCGCCAGAGTGACCTCTGGTGCGGGCCAAGTGGGGTCCCTCGACAGCCGAACGCGTGCCGTAGTTGCGTCTTGCGCTCTCGTGTTCGGTCCCCCCACGGCCCCCCAAAAGCCGCGCACCAAGGGTCCCTTGTACCCGGGGTCACTCTTGCGCGTAGTCGAGAAGGAGGGACCCTTCTCGGAAGGCTCGGAAGTCCCCCGGCTTTCTGGAAAGTTTTCTGGGCCTTCCCCGAAGACACAAAAAAACATGTCGGAAGGCCGGGCGGCTTCTGAGAAGCCCCTTGCCCGCCTTCTGAGAAGGCCTCGTCCTGTTCCTTTCCCCCCTTCGCTCGCCGCCGAAGGGCGCTGCGAAGAGGCCACCACTGCACAGGAAGCCGTCGGAACTCCGCGCAGATATTTCGCGGGCCCGCGCTGGGCCGACCCCCCCGGCGGCGCCTCCGCGCCCCCCCGCGCGTGGATGCGAGAAGCCAGCGCGGGCCTCCAGACGGGCACGCGTGTGCAGGTTCTGATTCGAAGAAATACGTGGAAGAAAAATGAAAGCGGCTTTGGACCCCCGAGGGTTCGAAGAGCACAACACTGCGCAAACATGAACTGTTGGCGCTCCTCGCGGATTGCCTTGAGATCGGCTTTGGGCCCTCCCTGCCTAGCGGCGCCTCCGGCGCCGCCCATGGCGCCGGAGGCGCGCCAGGGAGGGAGCTCTAGCGCAGATCCGGGAAATCCGCGCGGAGCTCCAAAAGTTTATGTACATTTTTCCCCACCAGTCCATGCAGGCTATCCAGAGAAGACTCCCTAGGGACCTGCCCTGACCAGGGAACGGCAGGAACCTGAGATGGCGCGCAGGGGTGTGCGGTTGGCTCCAAGAGGCTCACGCCATTCCGCTGACCCCCAGAAGAGAAGATGTCGGGGGTGGACAGAACCCCCACCCTGACACGTCGATTCGTGAATTGTCCTTTTTCGGTTCTCGAGAGGGCGCCGCGGCCGTCGTTTTCCAGGCTTGCGCCCGCCAGATTTGAACCCGAGGTCGTTTTCACGAAACCACGTTTTACCAAAGGGGGTTCTGCCCATCCCCCAAGATGTGCTGTTTTTGATTTCGCTTGTGCCGTTTGCCGCTTCCCGTCGTCCTCCTCTTCCTTCGCGTCTGCTGCGGGCTTCTAGGGGCTCTTGGGGGCCCTCGGGGTCTCGGCACGCTCCCCATTTCGCATCGTCTTCGGCAAGCTGGAGGGCCTCCCGTAGGGTGAAGTCGGGCGTGTCCCTCTACAGGGAGAATGTTCAAAAATAGTCAAAAAATAATCCGGGAACGATTTGTTGATATTATTGTTCGACTAGTTTAGGGCATTCTTCGACTATGCTTAATTTTTCGTCCAGAGTCCTCCTGAAGGGGAACATGCCCGACCTAACCGTAGGGGCGCCGCGAGGAGCCTTCTGGTTAATGCTGTTTTTTTCTCGGGACAGTGCAGTGGCTCTGTTGATGCATTTGGGGATGCATTCGGGGCTCCTGGGGACTGCACCTTGTCGGGTCGCACTAGGGGGTTCGCAAGTCAAGCCCCCCGTCGGGGCCCGAAACACAGCACCCGCGTTCCTGAGGTCAGGTTTCTGGTTGGCATTCGTATCTAGGGGCTCTCCTGGAATGTTCTGGGGTCAGAGGAACAGTAGGGCATGAGAATGATACATCTCAAACAGATGTTCCCCGATGTTATAGATTGCGAAGGCCTTACGGCCAGTGCCGCCGACCCTGAATGGCGACGACGACGACGACCCTGAATGGCAACGACGACGAAGACGACGGATGATACAGTTCAAGCTTTCCCCGATGTTGTAGAGTTCTCAATGTTGCAAGCGGGCTGCAGAAGCGAGGGCCGCTAGGTATTCTGGCAATCCTGGAACGCATCCTGAGGCGATCGTACCATGACATTCGGATCGTCCTACAGTGGAGACCCATGCCAAGAAACACCATGTTTGCCTCCAGGGTGCCCTGGGTGTTCGATTATTTTGCGGACTGGCCTCCACTGTATTGCGGGCCTTCATACAAGCTCATCATACTCAGACTCATCCATGGTCTTCGCGATGCAGCAGGCATATCATTTGGGCACCCCAAGGGTGACCCCGCGCCCACATTGCGAGTACGCATCAAGCGAGCCAAGGCTGGCTGGGGTTTCCCCGGCTCCTTTGTTCTGAGAGGTCCAGCACGCGGGTACCCCAAGAAGAAGTAGCCGCCAGGAGATATTGCACGGGCCCGTTCGCGTCCAGATTGTGGGAACGTCTCAAACGAAACGTTGGGTTTGGTTTCCCTGGCTCTGCTTCGAGGGCTCCATGACCACCGCGATGCAACAGACATAGCAATTGGGCTCCCGACGGGAGAGCCGCCAGGGAATGTTGCACGGGCCCGTTCGCGCCCAGATTGCGAGGACGTCTCAAACGAAATTGTGGTGGTGGTGTCCTTGGCTCCTCTCCCCACGGTGTGGCAATCAGTGCACTTGATCACCGCAAGGGGCAACCAGAGGGTATTGCGCGGGCCCGTTCCCGTCCAGATAGCGGGGGCGAGAACCCGATGGTCACCGCATTGTGGCAATTATAGCACGCGGGCACCACGAAGTGGAAGCCGCTCGGAGGTATTGTACGGGCCCCTTCGCATCCAGATTTCGGGGACGTTTCGCACGCAACGGCGGATTTGGCTTCCCCGACTCATCTGTTTTGAGAGCCGATCACCGCGATGTAGTAGGCATTGCACTTGGGCACCTCAAGGTGGAACCGTCAGAGGGTATTGCACGGACCCGCTCGCGTCCATATTGCGGAGACGTCTCAAGCGAAACCGTGGTTTTGATATTCCCAACACCATGCTTCTTTGAGAACCCCAAGACCCCCACGATGTAGCAATCATAGCAGTTGGGCGCCCCAAGGGGAAGCCGACAGAGGGCATCTAACGGGCCTGTTCGCGCCCAGATTCTGGGAACGTTTCGCGCAAAACGCCCGCACAGGCTCCTCGGCCACGTTTGTTCTCAGAGCCCCATGATCCCCGCGACGTGGAAAGCATGGCCTCTGGGCGACTCCGCCGTTCTGTTGCCCCAGGGTCACCGCGATGCGGCAGGCACAGCTTCTGTAAGGGCACCACGCGGGGGAACCGTCGGGGGGCCGCGTGCGCGCAGTCAACTTCAGGGGGCGCCTCACGCGAGACGCTCGTGCAGGCTCCTCGGACGCGTTTCCTTCGGAGCCCCATAGGAGGAGGAGGAGGAGGAGGAGGAGGAGGAGGAGGAGGAGGAGGAGGAGAGGAGGGAGAGGAGGAGGAGGGAGGAGGAGGAGGAGGAGGAGGAGGAGGAGGAGGAGGAGGAGGAGGAGGAGGGAGAGGAGGAGGAGAGGAATGATCGCCGTGACGTCGCAGGGACCGCCGCGGGGTCCGCAGAGGGGCCGCGGGGAGGCCGGCGGAGACCAGCAGAGTGGCCGGCGGAAAGAGAGACCGGCAGAGGCAGGCACGGGCTGGCACGGGCCACGGGTGCCTCTGCGCGCGGGCCCCGACAGCCTCCTCCTCCTCCTCCTCCTCCTCCTCGTCCTCCTCCTCCTCCTCTTGCTCCTCCTCGGAAGTGAACGGAAGGGGCGGCAGCGGCGGTGAGCAGCAGAAACAAGCGCGCACCTTCGGATTCACTCGCATTGGGACGCCTGCCGACGAAGAGTCTCATCCACAACGTTCGGGCATTCAGGTCGGGAGGCACCAGGAAGTGCGATGCACATGTGGGGGTACGCATCCGGGTCGAAAATAATTTTGCTGACCGAGATGGTCGTGGTGGGCTCATGTTTCTTGGTTGGCGGTCAGTCGGTCGAGTGGGGCTGGGGGTGTTTATCAAGATGGAATAGTGGCGATCCCATCCCAGAAAGGGGTCAGAAAGATAAGAATAGTTGACGCGTTCATGTAAACATCTACGATCAGAAGGCCGGTGGGATCGGAATGCAAGAGGCTAGTCGATAGAGATTCCGCGAATGCGAACCCTTCATTCAGTGCTATCGCAGCACGCTCAAGAAGTCGGTATTCCGTGAGACCTGGGCGAAATATAATGTTTATCCCCCTCAATGATGTTTTTCTTTCCTCTTCTTCCCAGCCGCTCCTTTCCCTGCCTCCGATTCCCTGCCTCCGCTCGGGTATGGCCAGGACCCGGTTAAGGGGAGCCGATTAGTGATTGGTCCCCGAAGCCCAAAATATGGATTGGAGTCGCTAAGCCAGGTCTGCCGTAGCTCATGTTTTGCGGGTTACGGTAATTCTTGTTAGTGGAATGGGACGAAGGGCGCCCCCCGGTACACATCGCTAAACCAGGTCCCACTAAACCCAGTTCTGCCAACGCCCGATCCGCTTCCTCCTGGTACTCCGTGTAGCCATACGCTCCCCGTATTTCTGCCTGACCATGTATCATGACCTGTTCGTGGGCTGGAAGGGGTAGCACGTGGACGCAGAGGAGGAGGAGGAGAAGAAGGAGAAGAAGAAGAAGGAGGAGTACAGGCAACGCGCCCAGTAAGGACGCGCGCCTTCATCTCGGGTACCCTTGTGTCCTTGCCTCTGCGGCCCGTCCTTTGTCGTTGTCATTCGCCTCTCCCTGGGTCAGGGTACCCTTGCGTCCCTGGGGTGTCGGTCGCTCGCCGCCCAAAAGAAACTCCCAGCTTCGGCCTCCAGGGGTTTTGCGTCCTTGCCACTCGTCCTCACTACAAGTTTTGCCTGTAAGAGGAATGAGGAGGAGGAGGAGAAGGAGGAGGAGGAGGAGGAGGAGGAGGAGGAGGGAGGAGGAGGAGGAGGAGGAGGAGGAGGAAGGGGAGAGGCGCAGCAGGGGAAGTGGAGGAGGGAGGGAGCCCCAGAGAGGAAAGAGAGAGAGAGAGGGGAGGAGAGGGACCGACGACGGCGAGCAGCAGCAGCGGCACGAGAGGAGGGGGGCAGGATTCCCTGACGGTCTCGCTGCCAACGGACGCCCCGGAGGAGCCGATCGGCGCATTCGACCAGGCGAGGGGAGTAGAGCGAGGGAGGATGAGGTGGAAGTGATGACCTCCTCCTCGGGGGAGATGAGAAGGAGAAGGTCTTCTCAGAAGGCGGCGGAGCTTCTCAGAAGCCCTCGCGCCCTCGGATAAGTGTTCCGTGTCTTCGGGGAAGGCTCGGAAAATTGTTCAGAAGGCCGGGAGAGTTCCGAGCTTTCTCTCAGAAGGCCCGCCCTTTGTCACTTCCCCCCCCCATGCGCGCCGCCGAGAGAAGAAGCGCACGGTGCCACCGTGCGGTTTCAACTCCCTGGCCTTTTCTCGTTCTCTCTCTGGCCTTCCCTCCTTCCCCAAGCCTTTCCGCCTCTCATCTTCCTTCTCCCCACCAACGCTATGCACTCCACCTGCGATCTGCCCTCGATTTGGCCTCTCACTTCCTCCTCCTCCTCCCCCTCGTTCTCCTGGCGGTATCGCCTCGGCCACGGGGCCCCTGGCCCCTGAGCCAGTCCAGTACTTCCCCGCTGCTTGCCGTGATCCGCAGTGCATCGTGCTTGGGCTTGGAGTTCGTCCTTCTTCGCGTCGCTCGCCTCATTGCACTGTTCGACTTGATGCGTCCAAAAGTCGGGCATGTCCCTCTACAGGACGAACATTCCAAACTAATCACAAAATAGTCTGGGGACGATGTTTGTTTACTGTGTTTTAGCATCTTTGATGGAGCATTTTGGGGGTATGTTTATTTTGCCCAAAAATCCGCCTGTAGGAGGACACGCCCGACCTGGGCGGAGGGGCCGGGTTCCCAACAGGAACGGCGCAAAAGCCGTCTCGCTCGCCTCCGCCTGCCCTCCCACCGCCACCGTGTACGCGCAACCTGAGCTGCTTGTGGGGCGGGGCCCGGTCTGCTCCTGGGCGGCCTGGATCAGGTCGGAAGCCTCGAGACGGGGGTCAATGCAAACGGGGGTCAGCCAGAGCGCCAGATCCTGCAGGATCCTGCGAAGACCCCCTCTGGCTGACCCGGGTTAGTGAGCCGCTCGTGGCCGCGAGGTGGCCGCGCGTATTGGCTGACCCGGGTTTGCGAAGCCTTGCGTTGCAGTTTTTGTTGTTCTTGCAATGCAGTTTTTGGTTTCCTGCTGACCCGGGTCTGGATTGATCCGGGTCAGAAGATCCCCGACTGGATCAGGGCGCCAGAGACGGGGGCACGGACAACGCCGATTTCCACGTCTGGCTATGCCCTCCTTCAGGGGGCTCCGAGCGCCGTGGACGGGGGCGCAGTAGACGGGGGCACACGAGAAAGCCCAAGCCCCCGTTCAGCTGAAGCCCCGGGCAGAAAGCCCCGACTGGATTGCTTTGACGGGTGGTCCCGACCACTGCTGGACACGGTCCGGGCCCACTGTCGGGCGGCACGGCCTCTTGTTGGGCGGGGTCCGGCCTGTTCTGCGAGCGCGCTGGCTCGGGGCCGCTGCGGCCTCTTCTGGGGGGCGTCCTTCGGCGCGGGGCTCCTCGCCGAGCCGGCGCGCGAACGTCGGCAAGCGCGGCGCGCGTGCCTCGAACTCGCGCGCGGCGCCTGCCTCGCGGGCCCGAGGCGCGGGCACTGGCCAGGGCTTCCTCCCCCCCCTCCTCCTCCTCCTCCTCCTCCTCCTCCTCCTCCTCCTCCTCCTCCTCTCCTCCTCCTCCTCCTCCTCTCCTCCTCCTCCTCCTCCTCCTCCTCCTCCTCCTCCTCCTCCTCCCCTCCCCCTCCCCCTCCCCCTCCCCCTCCCCCTCCCCCTCCCCCTCCTCCTCCTCCTCATCCTCCTGACGGGGGACGACGACCGAGGACAAGGCGAGGGCGGGCAGAAACCGAAGCGGGCGGCGGGCGGCACGGGGGAGGCTTCCGCCTCTACGCCCGGTCTACACGTGCAGCGCTGCACCGCCGCTTGCTCGCGCTCCAAGAGCTCATGCGCGCGCGGCCGGTGCAATGATTATGCATCCGGGCACCCACAAGCCTCCGCCCCCGCCGCGAGGCAGCGCTGGCCGCGCCGCGCTCCACGCGCGCACCAGGAAAGTCATGTGCGCTGGGCTGCCGAGCATCCACAACTCTTGCATGTGCAACGTGAAGGTTCCGAGGGTTGTCTGCCCCCTGGCAATACTCGGCAGAGTTCCCTTCAGTTGCCTGCGCGCGTGAACTCGCAAGAACAATGTCTTGAATATCATCTTCGCACGGTCGGGGCTGCAGCAGCAGGAGCTCCGTTTCGTGGCACAGCGAGTCGATGTCAGTAGTTCTCGATGTTTTCTGCACACTTTCCCGAGCGCACACGAGCGCGAGCTTGCGGCCGACGCGCAATCCATGGCGAATGCGCTGGGTCAGCAGGTTGGCCAAGTGACTGTCCACAGAAGCTCGGACTCATAGCCCCAAGCAGGCGAAGCCTTGTGCACCGCGGCGTCGAGCAAGTGGGACGGGCGCTCCGCAAGCACTCGGGGAACTTTCGCTGCGCCCTTCCGCTTCGCCGTTCTGTTGGCGGCGGCTTCGGCAAAGACGCGATCCCGCGCCGAGTGGGTGACAGCGTCGGCCCGCCCCACAACGGCCTTCAGTGACTTCTCGCACGCATGCCCCGCCGCAGAGCCTTGGATGCACTTTCGAGCGGCGCCTGCCCAGCGATCCAGCAACGCGTGCAGACGCACGGCCAAGGCGCCCACGGCTTGCCAAGAACCACCGGGGTAGTCGCGCCGCGCATCAGCAGGTCGATTTGGATGGTTGTGCCGCGCAATCATGCCGCGGTGGCAGTCAAAACCCACATGGAAATCGGTGTTGTGCTTGGACGCAGACTTTTTGAAATGACAGTTCAGGTGGTTCCCACCCTTGCCGACTTGGAAACCGTTTGCAAGCAATCGCCGACGGCCGCCGAAGTCCACGACGCCGTGGAATTCTTCGCGCACTGCGTCTTTACGCCCAGCCTCGAATCCCAAAGTGTCCACGACTGGGAGTCCGCAGTTGGGCACGCCCAACTCTGACGCCTGTCGACGCAGGCGCGCCAACCTCGGCTTCAGGTTCATCTTGTACGCCCGGTTGGTTTCCTGGCGGATGAGCTCCGGCACGGAGAGCAGCATGCCTCAGGCTCCAACGTGGAGCAACAGGCTCGTATAGAGCCGCACGGCGCGACTCTTGCACACCCTACGAGAGGGGAGCTGGAGTCTGTACCATCGCTAGCTTCACGCACACGTCGGCGCCGAATATGGCTCCATCTGCCAACCAAGCTTCGCTCTCGATCTGTTCGCAGAGCCCGTCCAGGCAGCACCCCACGAAACGCTCGACCAAACGGACGAGCACATAGTGGCCGCGCAGGGCGTCTAGAATCCACGGAACCGCGACGGCGCCGGCAACCTCGGCGGCCTCGTCGGTTCGGCGGGCGCGGCCGACCCCACTGCCGCCTGGGGCCTTCCCCGCGGACGCAAGGCCCCAACGTTCTGCCAACCACGTCTTCATCTCTGTGACCTGAGGGCGCAGCGCGAAAGGCGAGGCCAGGACGATCAGGAAACGCATCGTGTAGTACGTCTGCCCCGCGAGGAGCATCCGGATCAGCTGGATCAGCCAGATCAGCCGACCAGTTGCAGGCAGCTGGATCAGCCGGACCAGCTGGATCAGTCGGATCAGCTGGAGATCACCCGATCACTGGACCCTGACATCTTGCGCTCTCAATTTAATTGAAACGTCTACAAACGCTTCAAAAAAAAATCGATCCGCGATCGAAAATTGATACTGAAACAGAAAATTGATACATGTCACATTGGTACATTGTTAGATCTATATATATATATATACGTATATATGTATACATATATATATATATATAAGTACGTATGTATGCACATTGGATGAGAATGCAATATGGTGACACATTGGCACTGCGACACACTGGCGCACTCTGGCGCATTGCATACGTGGCGCACATGGATCACGTGGCACACGGCACATGAAGGCAAGTATACGTGGCCCCCTTTAGCCGCACTGCGCGCGACAATTTCGAGGCCCACGCTAGCGCATACATGCGCCAGCGACCGGACTCCTCCATCTGACGCGACACGCGCCGCGAGCTCTCAGGGGACATATATGGTACGCGGTCTGCACCGTCTCCACGGCACCGACGGAGGTTGGTGCTTCGTCTTCCGAGACCGTGTCTGGGCCGCCCCTTGGCGCGGGGACGCTTTCTCGTTAAAGGCCGAATCGCGCTCGATCAATCGAATCGATCAGTCGATCGATCGCGATTCGCCCTTTCTTAAATCATATGCTAAGATGCATACGCCAACTCGTAGTTGGGGTTCCCAGACCCTCTCGCGCATCTCCCGTCCCTCCACGTGCTCTTTGACCCATATCAGGGCCGTGGGCAGCTTTAATCGCGGCTAGCCGCGCCCTCGGATCCTTCCGCGCCAAGGCTCGCCCGAGGGCCCTCGCGAGGCTGGCTCGAGGAGGAGGGGCAGCAGGAGGAGGAGGGGGAGGAGGAAAAGGAGGAGGAGGAGGAGGAGGAGGAGGAGGAGGAGGAGGGACTTTGAAGGGCCCCAAGGAGGAGGAAGAGGAGGAGCACCAGGAGCAGGAAGACGGAGCAGGAGGAGGGGCAGGAGGGAGGAGGAGGAGAAGGAGGCGGAGGAGGAGGAGGCAGAGGATAACAAAGAGGAGGGGACGGAAGCGGAAGAGGGAAACAATTGAGGGGGCAAATTGCTTCGGCGAGCAAATCCCGAGCTCGCTTGCACGGCGTTCTGCGTTCCCGTTGGCGGGGTTCGGGGGGGAGGGGAAGGAAGGGGAGGAGGAGCAGGAGCAGGAGGAAGAGGAGGAGGGGGAGGAGGAGGACCAGAAGGAAGAGGAGCAGCAGGAGCAGGAGCAGGAGGAGGAACAGGAAAAAGGAAAAGGAGGAAGAGGAGGGAGGATGAAGAAAGCAAACGGAAGAGGAGGACGAGGAGGAACAAGAGGAGGAGGAGGAACGGGAGGAGGAAGAGAGGAGGAACGGGAGGAGTAGGAAGGGGGGGACAGGAGGAGGAGAAGGAGGAAGAGGAGGGAAGTTGAGC